CCCCACCGAAGGACTCATCTATATGTTCTATATGTCCTCACTCACTCACTCACTCACTCACTCACTCTCACCTCCCCACCAGTGACCTCTCCCGTAGCCGCATCACCCGCCCCCCCACCGAAGGACTCATCTATATGTTCTATATGTCCTCACTCACTCACTCACTCACTCACTCACTCACTCTCACCTCCCCACCAGTGACCTCTCCCGTAGCCGCATCACCCGCCTCCCCACCGAAGGACTCATCTATATGTTCTATATGTCCTCACTCACTCTCACACTCACTCACTCACTCTCCCCCCTCTCCCCCCCAGCGACCTCTCCCGTAGCCGCATCACCCGCCTGCCCACGGAAGGACTCATCAACATCACCGAGCTAGTGATAGAAGACACGCCCACCATGAAACAGTTCCCGTCCGTCTTCAAGTTCTCCCAGATCCACACGGCCCGCCTCACCTACCCACACCACTGCTGTGCCTTCCGGTCAGTGTCTACAGCCGTCCACAGTGTGTCGGTGGAGACGTAAAAGACACATACGTGCCTCTGAGTGTCGCTATAAATAGAACTTGTGGTTTTGTGTGCAGTACCTACACTTGTCTGTTTACAATGACTACTCATGCGTGGTTTTGTGTGCAGTTCCTACACTTGTCTGTTTACAATGACTACTCATGTGTGGGTTTGTGTGCAGTTCCTACACTTGTCTGTTTACAATGACTACTCATGTGTGGTTTTGTGTGCGTCTCTCTGTGTGTGTTTGTGTGTGTGTGTGGAGAGAGAGAGAGAGAGAGAGAGAGAGAGAGAGTGAGAGAGAGAAAGAGAGAGATAGATAGATAGATACAGAGAGAAAGAGAGAGAGATAGATAGAGAGAGAGAGATAGAGAGACAGATAGAGAGATGGAGAGAGAGAGAGCGAGAGAGAGAATGTGTGTTGACGTGTGCTTGTATGTATATTTGCGGACATCAATAAATTGTTTTTCTTATCTCATCTTATCTTATCTAACCGACATCTTTTATCGAGTATTTAACTCTTTCTGCTGGGATGTTGTATCCCTCTCTGCCGAGGCTGGCCCTGACAGGCAGTGGGGGAAGCCCGCCTCCTAAAACATGTACATTTTGTTGATGGTGGCGAAAAAACGCACACATTGAAAAATAATTATCTGTATCTCATCTTGTCTTTCTTCTGAGTAAAACCACCCCCTCCCCCTCCCACCTCGTGTTGTTCCAGGCACGCGGATAAGCAGGGTCACGAGGACTCGGGCCACGGGGAACAACTCTCCCGGCTCAGCGCGTGTGCCGCACAGATGACGCCCAGCCCCTTCATCACACACACGGCGCCCACACCGTTCTCCAGCACAGCTTTCAACTTTCGGTTCCGGCGAGGCCTGGACTTCCTGTCGTCTCAGTTTCACTTTGTGATGAACCAGGAGCTGGTGGTGGGCGGGGGCGGCGGGGAGGAGGTGAGTCTAGGTCTAGGGGACGGGTTCAACCACGGCTTTGGTCCCATCATCACCCCGTCCACCAAGTCGACCATCTCGCTGCACACCGGCCACACACAGAGCAACAACTGGCACGAGGAGCCGAGGGCGCCCAACGAGACCAAGTGGGTGGCCTGTGGGAACTTCTCCTCGCCCAAAGACTACTCCGAGGTGGTGTGTACCCCGCAGCCCAACGCCTTCAACCCGTGCGAGGACGTGATGGGCTACGAGTGGCTCCGAGTGTTTGTCTGGTTCGTGGCTCTTGCCGCTCTCTGCGGGAACCTGCTGGTCATCGTTGTGCTTCTGACCGCCCGCAGCAAACTGACCGTGCCCAAGTTCCTCATGTGTAACTTGTCCTTCGCCGACCTGCTCATGGGTCTCTACCTTCTGCTCATCGCGTGCGTGGACGCTCACACTCTCGGGGAATACTTCACGCACGCCGTGAGCTGGCAGAACGACGGGGGTTGTCAGGTGGCCGGCTTCCTCACCGTCTTCTCCAGCGAGCTCAGCGTGTTTGTGTTGACCATCATCACCCTGGAGCGATGGTACGCCATCAGCCAGGCCATCCACGTCAACAGACGTCTGCGCATGCGCCAGGCCACGGTTCTCATGTGTGCCGGGTGGCTGTACGCGTTGGCTATGGCGATCCTCCCTCTGTTCGGAGTGAGCGGCTACGGCGCGGTGAGCATGTGTCTGCCCATGGAGGCTCGTGACGCTGTGGACATTATCTACATCATCGCTCTCCTCGTCTTCAACGGCGTGGCGTTTGTTGCCATCTGCGGCTGCTACATCAGCATGTTCCTGCAGGTGCGCGCCAGTGAGAGTATGGCCAGGAGCAACGACGCCACCATCGCCAAACGCATGGCCATCCTCGTCCTCACCAACTTCATCTGCTGGGCGCCCATCGCTTTCTTCGGCCTCACCGCCTCCTCCGGGATCCCTCTCATCGACATCACCAACTCCAAGATCCTGCTCGTCTTCTTCTACCCGTTCAACTCGTGCGCCAACCCGTTCCTCTACGCCATCCTCACCAAACAGTTCCGTAAGGACGTGTTCATCCTGCTGGGCCGACACGGGATCTGCACCAAGCGCGCCAACCGCTACAAGGGCAGCTCCGTGGCCTGGTCCTACTCCAAGAACGCGGGAATGATGGTCCAGACAGGACGCCACCCGTCCACAGACATCAGCCTGCTGGGACAGTACCGGAAGGGATCCAAGGCGTCGGTCGTGCTCAACGGTTCCTCCCCGCTCAGCAGCGCGCGCGGCAGTTTCCCGCGCATGACACCACACTCCACGCCCGGCGACACGCCCACCACCTCGCCCAAAGACACCGACCCTCCCTGCCGGGACTTCCCGCAGAGGATCATCTTCTCCTCCTCCTCTACCCCACCCACCGCTGGCTCCTCCTCCTCTTCCTCCTCCTCTTCTTCCTCTTCCTCCTCCTCCTCCTCTTCTTCCCTCCCCGGCACCACGAGCGCGGGTAACTGTGAGGTGAAACAGAGCAAGGCGGAGCGGAAGTTGAGCACGGTGATCGAGACGAGCCACGCGTCAGACGGCGGCCACTCAGAGGACGGGACCTCGTGCAACATCAACTACGTCCCTTCCGGCGAGCACCAGGAGCGGGTCCTGGCGGGGAGGGACAGCCTCCGGGATCTCTTCGCCGGGAACCCACACGGACGTGTGCGCAGCGCCAGCGAGTATGTCGTCATCTTCAAAGCCAGCCCCGCCACCAAACAACAGCAGCTACAGCAGCAGCCCTCGCAACAACAACAACAACAACATCAACAACAACAACAACAACTAGAAGCACAACAACAGCAACCCCTACAACAACAAAAGAAGAAGGCGGAGGGTCGGGTTCCCCTAGAGCGCAGCGACGCCTTCGAGCGACAGACGAGCCGAGACACGATGCTCAGCAACAACACCCTCAGCTCCTTCCTCAGCGACTGCTCCTCCTCGCGCCTGGACAGCGACTTCGAGCCCCGCTCTGACCGGAAGAGCTCCCAGAGCAGCTACGTCACCAACTGCAGCCTGGACAGTAAGCGCGACAGCGGGGTCAGTGACCTCTGTAACCCGGACACGGCCGGCTACCTCATCAACACCAAGGTCAAGAACCGAGCCTCCAAAACCTGCACGCTCCAAAGCCCCGAGGAGACGGACTCGCTGATTGGTCGGTCGTCCCAGCTGTGTGGTGGCCGGCGGTCGGAGGACGGGGAGAGAGGGAGCCGGTACAAGAGCATGAACAACCGGCTGTCCGGAGACTCTATCGACGAGGTGGAAGACACGACCGGCGTGTGGATAGAGAGACGGCGCCCCAACTCGTTCACCGCCAGTTTCTCCTCCTCCCGACACAGCGAGGGCCCCCACACCGACTCCCCGCTCTCTCTCTCCGCCTCTCACTGTGAGGTCATGGAGGACAACTCCAAGAGTTCCCAGTCCCTTCTGGGGCACACGTGACTCGTGGACAACACACGGGACACAGTTACTGTGTTGTGTAAATGTACCAACACATAGGAGACAGTTACTGTGTTGTGTAAATGTACCAACACACGGCAGACAGTTACTGTGTTGTGTAAATGTACCAACACACTGGAGACAGTTACTGTGTTGTGTAAATGTACCAACACATAGGAGACAGTTACTGTGTTGTGTAAATGTACCAACACATAGGAGACAGTTACTGTGTTGTGTAAATGTACCAACACATAGGAGACAGTTACTGTGTTGTGTAAATGTACCAACACATAGGAGACAGTTACTGTGTTGTGTAAATGTACCAACACATAGGAGACAGTTACTGTGTTGTGTAAATGTACCAACACATAGGAGACAGTTACTGTGTTGTGTAAATGTACCAACACATAGGAGACAGTTACTGTGTTGTGTAAATGTACCAACACACGGGAGATGGTTACTGTGTGTGTAAATGTACCAACACACGGGAGATGGTTACTGTGTTGTGTAAATATACCAACACACGGCAGACAGTTACTGTGTTGTGTAAATGTACCAACACACTGGAGACAGTTACTGTGTTGTGTAAATGTACCAACACACGGCAGACAGTTACTGTGTTGTGTAAATGTACCAACACACGTGAAATAGTTACTGTACCCCGAGGTGTTACCAATATTTGACGTTCATGGCTGCTCGGTCCGTGGTTGGATGTATCTGTGTGTGGTTTTTGCCTCGTCTGGGAATAAAAATGTCAGAGTCGCGTGGCCAGGAGTCTGGGAAGGTGTGTGTCAGCCACGGGTCATTGTAGATGTGTAAAACAAGAGTGGGTGTGTTTGTGGGGGGCTGTCTGATGGTCTGCGTGTGTGGATTTCTCCCTGGCCGTGCCATGAACTGATGGAGTTGCTAGCGCCGTAAAAATGGCTAAAACAGCACCTGGGCGTGGATTGCTGGTGCCTCTATAAATACATAATTGAGGGTCGCTGTAAAAATCTGACCAAACAGAGAGAGCAGAGCTGCTTGTGTGTGTCTTGATCCTGCCAGTAACTGTTGTAACGGCAGACGATATTCGGAGACGTCTCCGGCGAGCACCCAGGAACTATTCGGAGACGTACTCCCGCACACAGATGCACTGCTTTGGGGAATCAAACTGCGTTTTGTTTGCTACAGATCACACATACAGCCACTAAAACTATCCCAAATCAAAAATTATTTTCAAGAAAACGTCAAAACTAACCGCCAAATATCAAAGTACGGATTGAAACATGAGGCATGCCCCTCTGTTACCCCCCAGATAGTTTTTTACTTGGTCCAGAAGCACAAAGCATTGTGATTGGTCTATCTCCGTCGGAGACGTCTCTGGAGAGATACTGTTGTCTCAACTCGAAGGGAAAGATTCGCTCACAGGAATGACTCACCCCTGGAGGTACAGAGAAGGAATAAAACAATCCTGATCTGGGCTATGGAGGTTGTCAACAAACGTCATGGCGGTGGTGGTCGAGTGGTTAGACTCTCGGACTCGCAGCTGTAAGGTCTGGGCTCGACGTTATGTCCTGGGGGAAAGCCACTTCACACAAATGTTCTCCACTTCACCCAGGTGGGAATAGATACCTGGCTATTTATAGTAAAGTTGGTCCCGCATCCGATCCGGACATTGGGGATTGCCTTGTTTGTGAGACAACTTCCTGGGCCTTCGGTATATTGTGGTAGACAGAGGAAGATTTCGTCAGTTTGTTAGTGTTTTAGCGCTCGTGTAACCTGCAGCTTGCCCTGTATGCTTCCCTGGAAACCGAGAATGTTTCTGGGAGTTCTAGGGTCTGCTGGGGATGATAATAGTTGTGAAGCACATACAACATACAACATACTGGGGATGGTAACAGTTGTGAAGCACATAGGCCTACAACATGTTGGGGATGATAACAGTTGTGAAGCACATACAACTTACAACTTGCCGGGGATGATAACAGTTGTGAAGCACATACAACATACAACATACTGGGGATGATAACAGTTGTGAAGCACATACAACATACAACTTGCCGGGGATGATAACAGTTGTGAAGCACATACAACATACAACATACTGGGGATGATAACAGTTGTGAAGCACATAGGCCTACCACATGCTGGGGATGATAACAGTTGTGAAGCACATACAACTTGCTGGGGATGATAACAGTTGTAAAGCACATACCACATGCTGGGGATAGGAGCAAGAGAAATGCAACTATAATAATTATTGTTTTTGTTGTTTTTGTTATTATTGCTGTTGTTGCTATCACCTCCGAGACAGACATCAGATCTGCAAGTTCAGGTCGGTAAAAGCAACGTTCCCCCCCCCCTCCCTCACACACACATTCACCCATGTCTCTGTATATCGATTTAGCTGCAACCCCACAGTGACCCCACTGTGACCCCTACAGTGACCCCGCTATGACCCCCAGAGTGGTGACCTCACTATGACCCTTACAGTGACCCCACTATGACCCCGCTCTGACCCCTACAGTGACCCCACTATGACCCCTACAGTGACCCCGCTCTGACCCCTACAGTGACCCCGCTATGACGCCCCGTGACGACTGCAGATGTTGCACACAAGCAGTTTGAAATGGGGCGGGCCTTTTGTTTGTATATTGTGGGTTTTTGTTGTTGTTGTTGTTGTTGTTGTTGTTGTTGTTGTTGTTGTTGTTGTTGGGTTTCCGTTTTTAGCTTTTGGGGTTGTTGTTTTTTTGTTGTTGTTTTTTTGCTAGGGTTTTTTTGTTTTGTTCACCTTTACCCAAAAATCATTATTCCTGAAAAGACAAGTAGGAAGAACAATAACTGAAAAACTAAAGTTTGTTCATTTGCGCACATGAAGAAATGGCATAAACACACACACACACACACACACACACACACACACACACACACACACACACACGCATGAACACTCAATCACACATTAACACACACTTACAAACACACACACACACACAAACACGCGCGAATACTAACTTCTCTAGGGGAATATAATGTTGTCGATGGGGTTGTTTTTAGAAATACCTACAAAAATTAATATACTATATATTTATGTGTGTGTGTGTGTGTGTGTGTGTGTGTGTGTGTGTTAGTGTGTGAGTGTGTGTGTGTGTGTGTTAGTGTGTGAGTGTGTGTGTGTGTGTGTGTGTGTGTGTGTGTGTGTGTGTGTGTGTGTGTGTGTGTGTGTGTGTGTGTGAATTATAATTTTTATTGCAAATAATACGTATATGAATTATAATCCATAACTCACTTTTATAGCTACAAAAACATTTGTATCATGTAGGCCCTACCCATTTGTCAGTGATTTATTGCACTCATTTTGTTATCATCATTGTCATTATTGTTTGATATTGCTACGAGAATTTGGCTGTGTATCTATTTTTCCACTCTCTGTGATGTGGGTGGTTGGCGGGTGCTCTAGTGTGGTTTGTTACTTCTTTCCTAGACTTATTAAAATATTATATCGTCTCTATCTCCCCTCCTTCATTTTTGTGTTTGTTACTCTCTTGTAACACCTCTAATCTTCGGCACTTATATATGACCGTATAGTGTTGCAAGTGCCGTAAAACTCTTACTAAAACTAGAAAAAAACCCCTCTCTCTCACGTTACATTGACGAATGTTGTGTGGGGTTGTGTTCTCGTGGACTTTGTGGTTGCTGGATCTGACAAGTGTCTGTGGTTTTGTTGGTGGTGTTGCTACCTCTGTCATGTACTCTGGGTTCCTGCCATGAACTCCCCTCCAAATTCAAGGAGATTTCGGGGATATTTCAAGAAGAAATTGTAAAACTTCTAGGAAGTTTGGTCGAGAAATTCATGCCGTTTTCAAAGGCGCACTTGCACCCTGAAAGCCTATATCCGATAGGACTACACTTGACCAAAAAATTATAGTTTCGAATGTCCAACAAAAATGTTGCGCATGTCCGATCTGGCGAAATTCAAGGAGTTTTCTAGGAGGTTTTTCTTGGAATGCAAAGTTAGGGAGTTTTGGAGGACTTCTTGATACAAGGGGGCAGCAGGAACCCTGTGTACTTTGTTCCTCTCTGGTAGGGCTGGGCGGCTAGGTTCCCGATTAGTGAAAGTTAGGAATCGTTGGAATCGACTCCGAACCCAATTACTTACTTTCTAACGATGTGATTTCTCCTGGTGGTAACCTGATTGGCTCCGAACATTTTCAGGATTTATGATAACCTTGATTTCGGAACATTACAAAGCATCAACTTTTATTTTTCAAAAAGGGAGTGCTTATTTAGGCCACATATGGCCTAAATAAGGTAAGGGAGGGGAGTTTAGCTTATTTAGGCCACACATGCTCAAACT